GTTCTACAATTGAAGCCAATGGAAGCAGTAGTCAGGACATCAGACGACATATAGCATTGGGAAAATCTCCTGCAAAAAACCTCTTTCAAGTGCTAAAGAGCAAAGATGTCTCCTTGAAGACTAAGGTGCGCCTAACCTGAGCCATGGTATTTTCAATCACCTCATATGCATGTGAGAGCTGGGCAATGAATAAGGAAGACCAAGAAGAATTGATGCTTTTGAGTTGTTGGGATGGTGAAGAATGCTTAAAGTACCACAAACTGCTAAAAGAACTAACAAATCTATCCTAGAAGAAGTGCAGGCGGAATGCTCCTTGGAAGCAAGAATGGCCAGAGTTCGTCTCACCTACTTTGGTGATGTTGTCAGAAGGGACCATTGTCTGGAGAAGGATATCGTGCTTGGTAAAGTGGAGGGTCAATAAAAAAGGGGAAGGCCTTCAACAAAGTGGATTGACACAGTGGCTGCAATGATGGGCCCAGATATAGTAAGGATGGTGAGGCTGGCACAGGACTGAGCAGTGTTTCGTTCTGCTGTACGTAGGGCAGCTATGAGTTGGAGCCGACTTGATGGCCCCTAACAACAACAGCAACCATCGGAAAGAGGTTTGCCTGCATTTTATTGACTGTGCAAAAGCATTCAACTATGTGGATCATAAGAATTTATGCATAACATTGCAAAGAATGAGAATTCAAGAACACTTAATTGTACTCATGCAGAACCTATACATAGACTAAGAGGCAGTTATTGGAATAGAACAAGGAAAGGTGTGCTTCAGAGTTATATCCTTTCAGGATACTTATTCTATCTGGATGGTGAGCAGATAATCCAAGAACCTGGACTCTATATGAAGAGGAACGTGGCATCAGGATTGGAGGAAAAGTCATTAACAATCTGTGATATGCAGATGACACAACCTTGCTGGAAGTGGAGAATGTGAGGCACTGACTGAGGAAGCCTTCAGTAGGGTGTATGCCCCTAACCCTACTGACCACATGGTTAACTATATTCTCTCCCTGCCTCTCCTTGGCTAGAGGTGTGCACTTCCAATGGAAAAAAATATTGAAGTTGTCAAGAATTTTGTTTTACTTGGATCCACAATCAGAGCCCATGGAAGCAGCCATCAAGAAGTCAAATAATGGAGAGGATCTAAAATGACAGATTAGGCAGATACACCAACCAGACCTTCTACAACAAAGACCTGAGAAACAAGTGAAGCAGGTGTGGATGACAGTCCTGAAACTCAGAGCTTCAAAGGAGAAGATAAAGAAGTAGAGCAAATACTGATGAGAAGACAAGACTGATGAAAACAGTGAACAAGGAATGCTAAACTGCCAACTAGCATGATGTGGGAGTTTGAATTACTCTGTGTTCCAATCAGAGCAGGCAGCAGACATCCCTATCCACTTACCCAGGATTTCACCAGTACTCACATTGGTGGTATGAGACCTGAGAGGTGTGACCTCCCTCCTGACTTTGCACAACCTCTTGGTGCCTAGAGGGATGGCCCCTATCTACCTGGCAACCAGACAAAACAACCTCCCACCCCCAAGCCCACTGCCAGTGCTGTGCTTCTTTTTCCTTTCTTCCTTTTAAAAAATCATTCTTCTCAGTGTCCCTTTTCTTTGTT